ATTGGAAACACTGTTACAAAGGACTCCAAGGTCACTGCTGGACTGGTGAACAGCTCACTGTGCTTTCTTCTCCATCTCTGACATGGGAACAGGAGGGGGAGAAGCAGCATTTGTGCTTCACATTTGTGATCTTTGTATTATTAACAAAGCTGAACAGGATGTGGGTATGGATATTTGGAAAGACATAACAAAGGTACATTTTTCTGTTTAATGAGTTGCAATGTCTTTATATGGAGGTTTAACATGTTTTATTTGGATCTTAATCTCAATTAAGACAGTACTTCTATGGTGAAGGTTTTTCTCTTTCTCACCTTACAAAAACTGAGAAAAAAGCAAGGTTTTGAAAGAAGATGCACACAGAGTACTTTAAGTTACTCTCAGAAGCATTTTCCTAACGTGGATACTATGATTATGAGAGGAGGAGAGTTCTCACTCCAATTTTTCTCTTCTCTTTTATTGAGACAGGGTCTTGCTCTGTTGCCCAGGGTGGCATGGAGTGGCACAATCATGGCTCACTGCAGCCTTGACCTCCTGTGCTCAAGCGGTCCTCCCACCTCAGCCTCCTGAGTAGCTGGGACTATAGGTGCACACCACCACACCCGGCTAACTTTTAAATTTTTTTGCTGAGACAAGGTCCCTCTGTGTTGCCTAGGGTGGTCTCAAACTCCTGGGCTCAAGTGCTGGGATTACAGCCGTAATCCACTGCACCCAACTTTACTCCAGTATTTATACTGTTGTGTTTCAAATAAAGAACACAGTCTGTTTCCTAATTATGGAGACAACATAGTAATTCCTGAAATAAATACATAAAAGTATATGACACTGGATATCCAGATATGTTTCCTTCATTTAGAGGGTATTGCTAATGATCTAACCATGTACCTTCAATTCAGGGAGAAAAATTCCAGTGGTAACATTTGAGTAATTTTTAAAAAGATTTTTAATAGGAGTGACTGGTATAGATATTATTTACTTAGAACTAAAGGCTCAGCTGGGCATGGTGGCTCACGCCTGTAATCCCAGCACTTTGGGAGGCCAAGGTGGGCAGATTACAAGGTCAGGAGATCAAGACCATCGTGGTCAATATGGTGAAACCCTGTCTCTACTAAAAATACAAAAATTAGCTGGGCATGGTGACGCGTGTCTGTAATCCCAGCTACTTGGGAGGCTGAGGCAGTAGAACTGCTTGAACCAGGGAGTCGGAGGTTGCAGTGAGCTGAGATGGCGCCACTGCACTCCAGCCTGGGTGACAGAGTGAGACTCTGTCTCCAAAAAAAAAAAAAAAAAACAAAAAAGACTCCGTCCAAAAAAAAAACTAAAGGCTCAACACAAATGATAATTGTTCAATGTGATGGATATGCTAATTGTTCCGATCTGATCATTATATATTATATGTCTCAAAACATCACTATGTACTCCGTAAATATGTACAATTATATGTCAATTAAAAACTTTAAAAAGGCCGGGTGCGGTGGCTCACGCCTGTAATCCCAGCACCTTGGGAGTCCAAGGTGGGCAGATTATGAGGTCAGGAGATTGAGACCATCCTGGCTAGCATAGTGAAACCCCATCTCTATTAAAAATACAGAAAACTAGCCAGGCATGGTGCCATGTGCCTGTAGTCCCAGCTACTCAGGAGGCTGAGACAGAAGAATTGCCTGAACCCAGGAAGTGGAGGTTGCAGTGAGCCAAGATCGTGCCACTGCACTCCAGCCTGGGTGACAGAGTGAGACTCTGTCTCAAAAACAAAAACAAAAACAAAACAAAACAAAACAACCTTTAAAAAAAAAAAGCTAATATAAAGCCCTTACCTTAAAACTCAGAATTTATCTTATTCACTTTGTACCCTTACAAGTTTATGAACTTGCAAGGCAGTTGAAAACTATGGTAAGTCTTCAAGTCCCAGCTTTATTAAATGTAAGAGATCAGCAAACTTTAATCTAAATTTTAAGAATTTTAAGAAATATTTGGAAACATTTTATTTCTGAAGTATTTTTTAATTATTTGGAAAACTGACTTAAGTGGAATGGGTCATTTCCTGACATTAGAAAAATAAAATTATTTGATATCAAATAACAATAGCATTCTCTGTATAAAAAAAATAACTAAAGGGAAATGTGGGGTATGTCTGTGGCAAGGCTGAGAATGAAAAAGATCACACACAGCACTGTGCATAATTATCTGCTCAACAAATCCTGAATATATCAGACAGCCCGTAATATTGCTACGAGAAGTCTGATTCAAATGCTTAGCTGCTATAGTTAGTTAATCTGGGACTCAAAGGACAATATACCTGGGTCAGGGACTAAAAGTCACCAGAACAGTCTTTCTGCCTACCAGTAACATCTATAGAACTTGACTGGAATCTAACCAGAAGTCTGTTTCATGTCCAAGCATGCTGCCATACATACAAGCCACCTAGGCTTTTAGCTAGAAAAGTTTAGACCAGAGACAATGATGCAGGAGGCGCGATGGCTCACATCTGCAATCCCAGCACTTAGGGAGGCTGAGGCGGGTGGATCATGAGGTCAGGATTTCAAGACCAGCCTGGCCAACATCGTGAAACCTCGTCTCCACTTAAAATACAAAAAAATAGCCGGGTGTGGTGGCAGACGCCTGTAATCCTAGCTACTCGAGAGGCTGAGGCAGGAGAATCGCTTGAACCTGGGAGGCGGAGGTTGCAGTGAGCTGAGATCTTGCCATTGCACACCAGCCCGGGTGACAGTGCGAGACTCCATCTCAAAAAAAAAAAAAAAAAGAAAAGAAAAAAGAAAATGATACAAGAAGAAAAGGAAATTCCTTATTCCTGGATTATAAATGAACAAAGGAAACACAATCCAAGGAAAGGGCTGCTGGTGGCACAGAGCCTGGGAAGTGAGAAGCCAGAGTTGTGGAGTTGTTTCCCTCCCCTTCTTTTAAAAAGTAGTGCTGGATTGAGAAGTTGGAGGGAGGTGGGAGGGTGGGTATGGGGGATGGAGACTCCAGCTGTGCAGCCTCCATTCTGAGAGCTGCTTAGATAAGGTGCGCAAAGCCAGGCATTCCTGGGCTAGCACTGTCAGGATACGATTTGTATCACTTTTGTTTTCACATTATCTGTCTCTTGAGGAAGTCACTGCCTGTCTGCTTTTCACTGTGTACCCTGGGTTTCCCTGATAAGATAGGCAAACTTCCAGCACTGCAGAGATTGTTAATCCCCTAGCTTGTGCTTCCCTAATACAAATTGTTTTTTTAAGAAACCCTCAAATTTGTGTTCTAACAATTGGCATGCTTTATACATCTTGAGCTCATATCCAGGTTTAAAGGAGGTGAACATACTGGTTCTTAAAGCTTCCCTCTATCACAGAAGCTCCTAAATAAGCTATCTGTGGTAATCTAGCCCTGTTCACCTTGCAAATTGACTTGTTGTATAATTGTATCCAATGTTTGTTTTTAAAGAAATATGACTCTTACGCCAGGTGTGGTGGCTCATGCCTGTAATCCTAAAACTTTGGGAGGCTAAGGTAGGCGGATTGCCTGAGCTCAGGAGTTTGAGACCAGCCTGGGCAACAGGGTGAAACCCTGTCTCTACTAAAATACAAAAAATTAAAATACAAAAAATTAGCTGGGCGTGGTGGTGTGCGCCTGTAGTCCCAGTTACTCGGTAGGCTGAGGCAGGAGAATTGCCTGAACCTGGGTGGTGGAGGTTGTAGTGAGCTGAGATCGCGCCACTGCACTCCAGCCCAGGTGACAGAGCAAGACTTCGTCTCCAAAAAAAAAAAAAAAGAAAGAAATATGACTCTTTACTACTGCACTCCCAATGCTAATATCAGAGAAAGATAAGAATCATAGGATATTTATGGGTATTTGGTAGATTCCGTATTTTGTTTCTATTAGCACTAGAGGAAATCACAGAATAACAGGGGTACTTCTCTGAAAACTGGGCGCCACTACTGTGACTCTGACAGGGTAAGTAAGTAGAGGATCTGCTTCTGCGTAGCACAACAGCTACAAGGCTAACCTGTGAGGGTCAGTGCATCAAGAATCTATAGAGGGAGCAGGGATGTCTGGGAAAGAAATCATTTTTTTTTCTTTTCTTTTTATTAATTTTTGAAGCCATCATTAAGAAATCATCTTTAAATCGAAGAGAAAAGATGGCAGGATGTCAGGATTTTTTTTTTTTTTTTTTTTTGAGGAAGAGTCTCGCTCACTCACCCAGGCTGGAGTGCAGTCGCATGAGTTCAGCTCACTGCAATCCCCAGCTCCCAGGTTCAAGCAATTCTCATGCCGCAGCCTCCCAAATAGCTGGGATTACAGGCATGTATCACCACACCCAGCTCATTTTGTATTTTTAGTAGAGACGGGGTTTCACCATGTTGGCCAGGCTGGTCTGGAACTCCTGGTCTCAAGTGATCCACCTGCCTCAACCTCCCAAAGTGCTGGGATTACAGGCGTTGAGTCACTGTGCCCAGACCTGATGTCTGGATCTTTAGTATATACATATACAATTTTCTTTCTCTTCCATTTCCTTCTTTATCTAGAATCTAAACACTTTCCAGGTCCCAGGCAACCAAATGGGAAGAAAAGCTCAAAAGTGTTTTGTTTGGTAGGTAGCTAGTGTTGCTGGAACCTGGACTGTGGCTGACTAGTAAGACTGCAGGACACCAGTGCCCCTGACGGCTCATATGGCTCCAGTAGATATGCAGGATCTAGAATAGGTAGGGAGGAGTTACAGAAGGTATGTATTGGCCACCCACAATCACCAACAGATGAATTTTCGCATAGGCAGAGACCTTGGTAATTACCTAAAAATACAGGGATCACACAAACTTCTTATGATATTGGGTGGATCTCAGCAAAAGTATAGAAAGGGAAGGACTTGAAAGAAGAAGTGAAATTTCTGTATGTTTAAATGTGTTAACTGGAATGCATGGATATATGTAACTAAGACCTTTATGTTTAAAAATTAAAATTGCTCTGGTCATTAATTCTATAGAATTAATGTTACCAAAGCTGCAGTAACATACTATTCAAAAATTCATTTTTCCAGACTTCCAACTGCTTAAAACAAAAAAACCCCACACACACGATTACATACATTCACACAGCTGCTATGCTCCCAAATGGAACACATATATTACTGCATACACAGAGACACTCAGAAAGCACACGTGCAGGGCTGCCAGCATACACCCATCTTGAACCTGAGGTGCAAGTGGGCCACAGTGAAGGTCAAGAAGCCCGGCTGCATATCTGTTCAATGTCATTCATCTCTTTGGGACAATCTGCAGAAAGGATGAGAGGTGAGTCCTGAGTCACCACTACATCATCCTCAATTCGTACACCAAGACCCCGAAACTTCTCTGGGGCATCTCTGTCATCCTCTGGAATATAAATGCCTGTGAAGTAGAAAGAAGAACATGCTGTTCAGGAATGACAGTAACTGGGTGGTCTGGGGCAAGTAAGTTAACCTCTGGGTTAAAATTCCTTCCTCTGTAATACTGGATCTTTAAGGTACCTACCTAGTAAAGCTGTGAAGATTAAATGAGATAATACATGTGAAAGTGCCTGGCATATAATGGTCAACACATGTTGGTATCATTACTAAAATTATGATTGTGGTTATCTTTATATTGGACTACAAGCTCAATACAACTATGGCAATGCTGATCATGATTCTGTCATGTTCCAGTGGCTCAAGCAGGCCAATAAAGTTACTTAATTTAAAAGTACGTCAATATATGTGGGGTACAAGCAGATTATATAAGTGCTTTCTTCCCCTGCCTAAGAGTCCCCTGGAAAAAGAGCACTTTGCAAAAATAAAGACAAAATATATTTAAACTGTATGAAAAGAAACATTTAGAGATTATTAGCCTTGACAACTGGAAGCTGCAGAAATAGTCATTATAAGGTTTAAATATATCTGATGTGGCCGGGCGCGGTGGCTCAAGCCTGTAATCCCAGCACTTTGGGAGGCCGAGGCGGGTGGATCACGAGGTCAGGAGATCGAGACCATCCTGGCTAACATGGTGAAACCCCGTCTCTACTAAAAAATGCAAAAAACTAGCCGGGCGTGGTGGCGGGTGCCTGTAGTCCCAGCTACTCGGAGACTGAGACAGGAGAATGGCGTAAACCCGGGAGGCGGAGCTTGCAGTGAGCCGAGATCGCGCCCCTGCACTCCAGCCTGGGTGACGCAGCAGGACTCCGTCTCAAAAAAAAAAAAAAAAAAAAAAAAAAAAAAAAAATATATATATATATATATATCTGATGTGTATAATATAAAGTAAAAGAGAAACTGAAAGACTTTAATGTACATTTGGAAAAATGTAGGAACCCCAGGTACCCTTTCTAATCATGAAGTTAGACACACACCAGGGCTTTTTATATTAAACAAGTTGTAAACTTCCTCCACTATCCTCACAGATCCTGCTCTACGATTAAAAAACAGAAAAAGATCAGCAAAGGAAAATGGAGCACAGTTAAGGAAGCGCTCATGTACCAACCAGATTGAACCAAACGATATAGCTATGGCCACAGATAGCAATGTATGACTAGGTTCAAAGGGTGGCATAAAAGACATTTCACAGCCATAATTTATATAGAGATTACAATACTTGAAATCTAAAATTTAGATCTGTTTTCAAAACAAAACCAGCATCAGTATTTAACCATCAACTCTGACAACATCAATCTTCACACACCACTGTGGCCACTGCTCCTCTTCAGAATCCTGCTCAACACCCAGGACCATTCAAGTTAGGTAATGTATCTGACTGTGAGCTTTCTCTGAAGCTTACGAGGAAGGCGTTGGGTACTAACGAGTGGGATGGTGCTGGGTAGTTCAATGCAGCTTGCAGAGGTGTTGAAACTGAGAGCATAGTGTGTCTGCCTGTCTCTCTGCACGCAAGCACCGGGGGCTCTGGAAGCTTGAGCAGCCCCCAGCTACTAAATGGGAGACCAGTACAAACTGGCCCTGGGAAAGGCAGGATTAAAAAAGATTCATGTCTTCATATCTATTCATTTGTATATATCTATATATAGGAAGTATTCTCCATCAGTTGTTTATTGGAGGAGTCAAATTGAACAAATTGTGTGATGTTAAATAAGAATACGAAAGATAAGTCTAAAATAAAATTATCTTCCACACTGGAGAGACTTTTTTTCTTGTCTCTTCTAACTTAATTACGTTGGTTGAGGTAAAAACAAACAATGTGGCTGGGCATGGTGGCTCACGCCTGTAATTCTAGCACTTTGGGAGACCGAGATGGGTGGATCACCTGAGGTCAGGAGTTCGAGACCAGCCTGGCCAACATGGCGAAACCCCGTCTCTACTAAAAATATAAAAATCAGCCAGGCGTGGTGGCAGATACCTGTAATCCCAGATACTCAGGAGGCTGAGGCAGGAGAATCGCTGAACCTGGGGGCGGAGGTTGCAGTGAGTGAAGATCACACCACTTCACTCCAGCCTGGGCGAAAGAGCAAAACTCCATCTCAAAAACAAACAAACGTTTACCTCATAGTAGTATTATAACTCCTTACCTGGCTCAATTGTGATTACCATCCCAGGCTGCAGAGGGAGAGAACGGGGCATGTCTGGAGTGTCATGGACATCCATCCCGAGGTAGTGGCCAACATGATGAGGGCAGTATTTTCGAGCAGCCTGGAAAGATAATTATCACAGTATCATCAGAGCAATGACCTCTAATGGGGAATGCTGGGCAAGTATAAATCAGTGAGATATGTGTTATTATCTCCCCCATGGTTCTGCCACTTCAGTTTAATTCCTCCTTGGGCTAATACTTAAAGGCACCTGAAAAACTGCAACCTCTTATATGCAATTCTGCCAGTGGCATTCTCATCAATCCACACTTCCATTCCCACTATTTAATATACTACCTACATGCTGACTTGGGTAATCCAACTAATGACTGTGGCAAATGAAAGTCTGTTTTCTTCAGTACCACAGGAAAGGTAAAAATAAAAGAGAGAAAAAAAATCTCTTTTTTTGGGAAAGAGAGGATGACTATTACCACAGTTCTCTTTCCAATGTTCCTTCACACATCCCTCTCAGGAATCCACTCTGGAGACCCTAAGTATCTCACAGCAACTTGTGGAGAATGCATACTTTTGGGCACGTACCAGCTTGGGTATTTCTTTTTTTTTTGAGATGGAGTCCTGCTCTGTTGTCTAGGTTGGAGTACAGTGGTGTGATCTTGGCTCACTGCAAACTCGGTCTCCTGGGTTCAAGCGATTCTCCCACCTCAGCCTCCCCAATAGCTGGGATTATAGACTTGTATCACCATGCCTGGCAAATTTTTGTCTTTTTAGTAGAGACAGGGTTTCACCATGTTGGCCGAGCTGGTCTCGAACTCCTGACCTCATGTGATCTGCCTGCCTCAGCCTCCCAAAGTGCTGGGATTACAGGTGTGAGCCACTGTGCCCAGCCAGCTTGGGTATTTCCATCAGTTAGTTAAAGATTTGTTGGCCCGAGCAACAGCCAATTTATAGCTTCGTTTTTATTGATAATAGAAGTCCTAGAAGCCTTAACTTGTAGGTAGGAGATGCCTAATGGTCTATCTGACTTGGGCATCTAGCATCTTAATTTTAAAGCTGAGGTTTTACATTTTTACTGAACATCATCACATTTTGGATGCAGAAAAAAATTCACTAATGACATGGCCTTTGGGAATATTGCTGAAGTCTCAAAATGTCACTTAAACAATACCTTCTCCTTTGACCTACAGAATAACCCATAAAGGGATTAAAAGTTAATCTCTCCCTCTCTCTATTTTTTTTTTTTTTTTGGACACAGGGCCTTGTTCTGTGGCCCAGGTTGGAGTGCAGTGGTGCGATCATAGTTCACTGCAGCCTTGAACTCCTGGGGTCAAGTGATCCTCCCACCTCAACCTCCCAAGTAGCTGGGACTCGAGATGTGTGCCACCACACCTGGCTAACTTTTAAATTTTTTGTAGAGACAGGGTCTTGCTATATTTCCCAGGCTTCTCCTCATTTCTGGTTTCCTTTTTCACCCTGTCTACACCAGACTTCATTTTACGTTTTCTGAATACTGAGCTAGTTGTGCAGCATGTAATGAATCAGAATGTGCTGCCATCATCTGGAAGAAATAAGTACTGACTTCCTTTGTTTTAATCTATGTTAAAGCTAAATCCCTCTTATAGATCACAAAGATGATTTCTAAATCTTTTCACTTAAAAAAACCCCGTGTGTGTATGTGTGTATATATATCTATGTGTGTACGTATATATATGTGTGTGTATACATATCTATATGTATATACATATAGATGGGTCTTGCTATATTGCCCAGGCTGGCTTCAAGTGATCCTCCTGCCTCAGCCTCCTAAACTACTGAGATTACAGGCATGAATCACTGCATCTGTCCCATTTCTAAATCGAATTAGCTTTATATACGGTAAAAGCCTAGCAGCATGCTAGGTGTTCTTGAGAACTGGGGTCAAGAGAAGTGAAATACCTTGAAGACATTATTTTCCTTAATGTTCTTCATGATTCCCAAGTCTTTAAGCTTCTGTCCTATCAGGGTCAACATCATGCTGTAGATGTTCTCCAAGCTTGTCCCAGGGAAGCAGAGGGCCAAACAATCTCTCTGGATCTCTAGAACAGCTTCATAGAGTTCTGCCTGAGGTGCAGTGAACCTAGGGATGGGAAAACCAAATAATCTGAACTTAGATAATCTGATACTCTAAGAAGTTTGCTACTAAGTTTGATTAGAAAAAACCCCAAGATTCTGCTGCTGGGCACTGTTGATGTTTAATAAGTACCAATCTATCAATATGGCCAGGAGCTCAATCATGTCCTAGGTGCTCAGCAGGAAGGGCAACAATCCTTCAAGCTGGACAGCAACACAGTCTCTTCTTCAAATGGTCAGGAAGACATGAAGTAGGGCCAAAAGCAGCACCCAGCCACGAGTGCAGTCAGTGGGCAGACGAGGCTCAGCCTTGATCCTGTCTAATCCCTTACAGCACAGACTACCATTTAAAAAAAGGCAGGAAAGCCTAGAGACCCACTTCTGACAGTGAAGCAGATACCATGGGATAAACTAGTCAACATTTGGGCTACTAGTAACATACTAGCACTTAAGTGTCTTTAGAATAACAGTTTCTTTAGCAATTATGAGATTAAAAAGTGACCTGGGATAATATATGGTATGTATTCTCACATACTGTTGACAGGAGTGTAAACTAATACAGCCAATTACATCAAAGGCCTTAAAGATGCTCATATAGGCCGGGCGCGGTGGCTCACGCCTGTAATCCCAGCACTTTGGGAGGCCGAGACGGGCGGATCACGAGGTCAGGAGATCGAGACCATCCTGGCTAACACGGTGAAACCCCGTCTCTACTAAAAAATACAAAAAACTAGCCGGGCGAGTGGCGGGCGCCTATAGTCCCAGCTACTCGGGAGGCTGAGGCAGGAGGAATGCGTGAACCCGGGAGGCGGAGCTTGCAGTAGCTGAGATCCGGCCACCGCACTCCAGCCTGGGTGACAGAGCGAGACTCCGTCTCAAAAAAAAAAAAAAAAAAAAAAAAAAAGATGCTCATATAACTAGAGCTTATAATTCTACTCTAATATATCCGAAGAAAATATTTGGAAATTCAAAACAGCTGAATGTATGAAATGTAATTTATTGTTGTAAATATGTATAATTTGAATATATAAATGAATGTAATATAAAATGAATGTAATTTTATAATTGTAAATTATAAACTCTAATGTCTCTAATAGAAGAATGGTTAATAATAGCATAAAAAACCCATAGCATAATGTACCCATACCCCACCCCACCACAGTATTACTAAATAATTATTTCTGTAACAGTTTTTTTTTTTTTTTTAAGAGACAAGGTCTCACTACGTTGCCCAGGTTGGTCTGGAACTCCTCAGCTCAAACGATCCTCCTGCCTTGGCCTCCCAAAGTGTCTTTATATACACTAAAATGCATACATTTGAATGGTACAATTTTGACAGATGCATGTACCAAACCTATTGAAGCTGAGGACAATGAACTCCTAAATTCTTCTGAGTCTTTTTTTTTTTCTTTTTCCCGAGACGGAGTCTGGCTCTGTCGCCCAGGCTGGGGTGCAGTGGCCGGATCTCGGCTCACTGCAAGCTCCGCCTCCCGGGTTTACGCCATTCTCCTGCCTCAGCCTCCCGAGTAGCTGGGACTACAGGCGCCCGCCACCTCGCCTGGCTAGTTTTTTGTATTTTTTAGTAGAGACGGGGTTTCACCATGTTAGCCAGGATGGTCTCGATCTCCTAACCTTGTGATCCGCCCGTCTCGGCCTCCCAAAGTGCTGGGATTACAGACTTGAGCCACCGCGCCCGGCCTCTTCTGAGTCTTCATTGCCAGCAGAAGCGGCCCTTCCACCCCTGTCTGAGAAGGCTAACCCTGTTTTCCTGAAAACCTGTAGGTATATCCCTTGAGGTAGTTGCCTTGGTTCTTCTAGTCCGAGCAGTCCTCAAGTCCCAGCAGGCTCCAAGTTAGGTAGAAAGTGTGACCCACGAGGAGGTCCACTCCACTCCAAAAAGAACTGTATGAGGGGCCGGGCATGGTGGCTCATGCCTGTAATCCCAACACTTTGGGAGGCCAAGGTCGATGGATCACCTGAGGTCAGAAGTTCGAGACCAGCCTGACCAACATGGAGAAACCCCATCTCTACTAAAAATACACAATTAGCTGGGCGTGGTGGCGCATGCCTGTAATCCCAGCTTCTCCGGAAGCTGAGGCAAGAGAATTGCTTGAACCTGGGAGGCAGAGGTTGCGTTGAGCCGAGATTGCACCATTGCACTCCCACCTGGGCAACAAGAGTGAAACTTCATCTCAAAAAAAAAAAAAAAAAAAAAAGAACTGCACGAGGTTTCCAATTTCTGACAGACAAAAATCTGGGAATATGGGTGGGAATGAATATTTATGGTGTGGGATAATGGTAGAAGGAACATAGTTGCATCAGGCAACTTTACTGATATGGGTCCACTAATCAGAGATTCTGGATTCAATGTTGTAGCTGAAGGGGTAAGAAAAGTTCTAACAGTTTGGTTGCCTGGCTGGCTGAAACACAAACCAAAAGGCCATCCACAATACATAAACACAAATGCCACAACTGCTTTGGTATACTGGAGAAGGAATTCTGCCTCAAGACTGTAATATAAATCCTGCCTGAGTTTGGACTGAAGTCTGCCCTATAGATTTTGGACTCAAGCCTTATACAGAGCATTTCCATCTCCCCCGAAAGCTTCCTCATGTTCATTTCCTTTTTTCCTTTTTTGAGATGGAATTTCCCTCTTTTGCCCAGGCTAAAGTGCTGTGACCTCGGCTCACTGCAACTTCTGCCCCTACCGGGTTCAAGCGGTTCTCCTGTCTCAGCCTCCCAAGTAGCTGGGATTATAGGCGCCTGCCACCATGCCTGGCTAATTTTTGTATTTTGAGTAGAGATGGGATTTTGCCATGTTGGCCAGGCTGGTCTTGAACTCCTGATGTCAGGTGATCCGCCCACCTTGGCCTCCCAAAGTCCTAGGATTACAGGCGTGAGTCACCATGTCCATTTCTAATCAATATCCCTACTTTCCGAGGCAAATGCTGTTGTGATTATTTTGACCTTAGTTTGCCTAATCTACAACATCATATAAATGGAATCATATAATATATACTATTTTGTGTCTGGCTTCCTTCACTGAGCATAATCTATGCTCTGTGCACCACTGCACTCCAGCCTGGAATGCAATAATCTATGCTCAGTGAGGGTAGAATGATGTCTATGCAGTACATCCATGGTGTTGCTTCAATCAATAACAAAAAACATTCAATCAGTAATTAAAATGTTTTTTTATTACTGAGTGGTATTCCATTGTATGAACAGACCACAATTTGCATATTCATTTTCCTGTTGATGGGACATTTTGGTTGTTATGCTATTGTGAATAAATGCTGTTATGAATGTCCTTGTGCAACTCTTTTGTTGAGAAATGTTTTCATTTCTCTTAAATACCTAGAATTTGGCTGGGCATAGTGGCTCATCCCTGTAATTCCAGTGTTTTGGCAGGTCAAGGCAAGAGGATCGTTTGAGCCAAGGAGTTGCAGACCAGCCTGGGCAACATAGCAAAACCCTGCCTCTATAAAAAACAAAATATTAGCCAGGCATGGTGGCAGGTGCCTATAATCCCAGCTACTTGGGAGGTTGAGATGGGAGGATGGCTCTCTGCCTCAGCCTCCCAAGTAGCTGAGATTACAGGCACCTGCCACCATGCCCAGCTAATTTTTGTTATTTTAGTATGGACGGGGTTTCACCATGTTGGTTAGATTGGTCTCGAACTCATGACCTCAAGTGATCCACTCGCCTGGGCCTCCCAAAGTGCTGGGATTACAGGTGTGAGCCACTGCACCTGGCCTTTTTACAATGTAGTTCTATTCTTCCAGCTGGATAATTTCTTTTTTCTTGTTTTTTTTGAGATGGAGTCTTGCTCTGTTGCCCAGGCTGGAGTACAGTGGTGCCATCTCCACTCACTGCAAGCTCTGCCTCCCGGGTTCACGCCATTCTCCTGCCTCAGCCTCCCAAGTAGCTGGGACTACAGGCACCCACCACCATGCCTGGCTAATTGTTTTTATATTTTTAGTAGAGACGGGGTTTCACCGTGTTAGCCAGGATGGTCTCGATCTCCTGACCTTGTGATCTGCCTGCCTCAGCCTCCCAAAGTGCTGCGATTACAGGAGTGAGCCACCGCCCCCGGCCCCAGCTGGATACTTTCTATTTATCTTCAAGTTTGCAAACTTCTGCAGCCTCCCATCTACAGTTAAGTCCACCCAGTGAATTTCCTATTTCAGTTAATGTACTTTTTGGCTTTAAAATTGTCATTTAAAATTTAAAAATTTTTTTATTGTAAAACAAAACACAGATATAGAAAGTCAAACAAATCAATCAAACATAAACCTTAAGAAATTATTCGGTGGCTCTATTAGAAATACAAAAATTAGCTGGGCGTGGTGGCACCCGCCTGTAGCCCAGCTACTTGGGAGGCTGAGGCAGGAGAATTGCATGAACCTGGAAGCTGGAGGTTGCAGTGAGCCAAGATTGTGCCACTGCACTCCAGCCTGGGCAATGGAGCGAGACTCCGTCTCAAAAAAAAAAAAAAAAAAAGAAAAAAGAAAAAAAAATTATTATAAGGTGAATACCAGTCAGACAAAAAAATAAAAAGAAAAAAAGAAAAACTTGGCAGACTATCCCAGAAGACCTTTCTATAGGTCCCAGAATAATTACAATCTTACCAATAAGTAACCCTCATCCTAACTTTTTTTTTTGAGATGGAGTCTCACTCTGCTGCCCAGGCTGGAGTACAGTGGTGTGATCTTGGCTCACTGCAACCTCCACCTCCCGGGTTCAAGTGATTCTCCTGCCTCAGCCACCCAAGTAGCTGGGACTGCAGGCGCCTGCCACCACGACTGGCTGATTTTTTTTTGTTGTTGTTATTTTTAGTAGAGACAGGGTTTCACCATGTTGGCTAGGCTGGTCTCAAACTCCTGACCTCAGGTTATCCACCTGCCTTGGCCTCCCAAAGTGCTGGGATTATAGGTGTTAGCCACCGTGCCCAGCCTTTTTTATTTTGGAAATAAGAGCCTTGCTCTGTTACCTAGGCTAGAGCGCAGTGACGTGATCGTAGTTCACTGTAACCAAAAATTTCAGGGGTCAAGTGATTTTGCCACCTCAGCCTCCTAAGTAGCTGGGATTACAGGTGTGCGCCACCATAGTTGGCCAATTTTTTGTATTTTTTGTAGATACAGAGGTCTTGCTGTGTTGCCCAGGCTGGTTTTGAACTCCTGGCCTCAAGTGATCCTCCTGCCTCAGCCTCCCAAAACACTGGGATTACAGGTGTGAGCCACCACGCTAGCCGTATCAGTTTGTAGTCAGTTAATTGTGATTTTTTATTTGTGTGTACTATTATTTACACATGAATTTAAATTTTTTTTTTTTTTTTTTTTTAAAGACAGGGTCTCACTCTGTTGCCTAGGCTGGAGTGCAGTAGTGCAGTCACAGCTCACTGCAGCCTTGACCTCCGGGCTCAGGTGATCCTCCCACTTTAGTCTCTCTAGTAGCTGGGAGTACAGGCCCATGCTACCACACCCAGCTAATTTTTTTCTTTCATGATTATATATGAAATGCTTCACAAATTTGCATGTCATCCTTGCATAGGGGCCACGCTAATCTCTGTATTGTTCCAATTTTAGTATATGTGCTGCTGAAGGAAGCACTTTTAAAGTTTTTTTGTAGAGATGGGGTTTTGCCATGTTGCCCAGGCTGGTCTGGAACTCCTGGGCTCAAGTCATCTGCTAGCCTTGGCCTCCCAAAGTGCTGGGATTACAGGATGAACCACAATGCCTGACCGAATTTATAATTTTTATTGAGATATAATTCATTTATCATAAAATTCCTTCACTTAAAAAAGTGTACAATTCAGTGGTTTTAAGTATATTCACAATGTTGTACAACCATCACTACTACTAATTCCAGAAAATTTTCATTACCATCTCCTCCCAAATCTTGTATCTGTTAGCAGTCACTCCCTTTTCCTTGCATTTTTTTTTTTTTAATTTTAATTTTAAAAAAATTTTTTCTTTTTACAGATGGGGTCTTGCTCTTTTGCTCAGGCTGGAGTGTACTGGCTATTAACAAGCTTGTTCCCACTATTGATGGGTACAAGAGTTGTGACCTGCTCTGTTTCTGATCTGGGCCAGTTCAGCCCTCCTTAGGTAACGTGGTAGTTCCCCGCTCCTGAGCGGATACCATATTGATGATGGACTTGTCGCAGACAGCTGATCAACATAGTGGACTGCAGCTTAGAACCCTTGGACTCAAGTGATCCTCCTGCCTCAGCTTCCTGAGTAGCTGAGACTATAGGTGCATGCCACTATGCTTGGTCATTGTGGGGTTTTTTCTTTTTATTTTTTTTGCGACAGGGTCTGGTTCTGTCACCCAGGCTGGACTGCAATGGTGCAGTCTTGGCTCACTGCAACCTCTGTCTCCTGGGCTCAAGCAATCCTCCCACCTCAGCCTCCCGAGTAGCTGGGACTACAGGCACGTGCCACCATGCCTGGCTAATTTTTTTGTATTTTTTGTAAAGACCGGGTTTCACTATGTTGCCCATGTTGGTCTTGAACTCCTGAGCTCAAGTGATCCTCCTGTCTTGTCTCCCAAAGTGCTGGGATTACATGAGGCACCTCGCCTGGCTGTCCTTTGTGTTTTTAAAAATATTTTTATCACCCAAATATTCACCCCAAGATAATTTTCTTTGTGCTCATTTTTAATGTATTTGATACACTCATTTGTAATATATTTGATATAACTAAAACCTCTTTTAGTTAATAGGCTCCTCCTCCACCTCTTTTCATTTCCTTGTAATGTATTTGTTAAAGAATCCAGGCTGCTTGACGTAGTTTATCAGTCTAGATTTTGCTAATTGTGCAGTTACAGACTGAATGTTTGTGAATTAGGAGGTAATTATTCTGAGGTAACAAATATTACCTGGTGTTTGGTTTTGTTAGCTAGTTGCTCTATGTTTATGTGACAATTTGAAAAGTTTGAAAAACTATCCTGCTGCTGCCGTCTTCCCAGAATCCCTGGTTCTTTTTAGTTTCTATTTCTCATTGAGATTCTCCATCTGTTCGCTCATTATGTCTACATCTTCCTTTAACATATCTGTAACAGCTACTTTAGAGTCCTTCTGCTAATTGGAACATTAAGATCATTTCTCTCTCTTTTTTTTTTTTTTCCTTTTTCTTAAGATGGAGTTTCGCTCTGTCGCCCAAGCTGGAGTGTAGTGGTGCAATCTCAGCTCACTGCAACCTTCCCCTTCCCGGTTCAAGAGATCTTCCTGCCTCAGACTCCTGAGTAGCTGGGATTATAGGCGCCCGCCACCACGCCCAGCTAATTTTTGTATTTTTAGTAGAGACAGAGTTTCACGTGTTGGCCAGGTGGTCTTGAACTCCTCACTTCAAGTGATCCACCTGCCTCGGCCTCCCAAAGTGCTAGAATTACAGGCGTGAGCCACTGTACCTGGCCGGGATTATTTCGTCATCAGATTTTCTTGAATACAGGTCACAATTACCTGTTTCTTCTCACGTCTAGCAATTTTGTTAACTTGGATAGATTCAAACTACAAACTCTGTTTTCACTGGGAAGCAACTAAAATATCTTCTCAGTTTATTCTGCTTCTAGCTGCTGGTATTTTGCTGAGCCTCGTGAGGCCTCCTCAGAACACAGTTTAGTGACCAGCCAAGGATTTTTAAATAATCTGTATGCAGATTTTGGGGCTCACAGTTTCTGCGAGCCCTTCTCGTCAAGGATTTTCCTTCATCTTTCTGGCTATTCTGCCAGCCAGCAGAATAGCCTTTGATATCTTAAATCAATAAGGCTGTGGCTTTCTGCTGCCCAAGCTATGTGCACTGGGCAATGTCCACAGGCAAAAAGCCCTATTCACCAAATTTATCCATTATAGTTTTTCTTTTTTTTTGAGACAGAGTCTTGCTCTGTCGCCCAGGCTGGAGTGCAGTGGTGCGATCTCAGCTCACTGCAAGCTCGGCCTCCCGGGTTTACGCCATTCTCCTGCCTCAGCCTCCCGAGTAGCTGGGACTACAGTCGCCCACCACCACGCCCGGCTAATTTTTTGTATTTTTAGTAGAGACGGGGTTTTACCGTGTTAGCCAGGATGGTCTCGATCTCTGGACCTTATGATCTGCCTGCCTCGGTCTCCCAAAGTGCTGGGATTACAGGCATGAGCCACTGTGCCTGGCCAGTTTTTCTTTCTTTTTTTTTTTTTTTTGAGATGGAATCTCACTCTGTCACCCAGGCTGGAGGGCAGTAGTCCAATCTTGGCTCACTGCAACTTCTATCCCTTGGGTTCAAGTGATTCTCCTGCCTCAGCCTCCCGAGTACCATGCCCAGGCTAATTTTGCATTTTAGTAGAGACGGGGTTTCACCATTTTGGTCAGGCTGGTCTTGAACTCCTGATCTCAGGTGATCTGCCTGCCTCGGCCTCCCGAAGTGCTGGGATTACAGGTATGAGCCACCACGCCTGGCCCATTATAGTTTTTTAAAAATGGACTTTTACCTGGCTAACACAACAGTCTTAGAAAATAATGAGGAGCTTTGCAACCTAACTTGACCAGGAATGGACCTATAGTATTTCTTTAGTCATTCATTCCAAGTATAGCCATATTCCAACTCACACTCCTAAGAAGCAGTGGGGTATGTTACTCTGTAGAAACCCTACCTGCCATTGACTGGCCAGGTACGTGTGATGTCACTCACATAGCAGGAAGACTCACAACCTCCATCCAGAAGCACCATTTCCCCATCCTGGAACAAAGTAAGACAGGTTAAAGTGGATAAGCTCATGATTATAAGTTGTTTCTAGTAATCCTAATCCAAAGTATGCCTTTTTTTTTTGAGACGGAGTTTCACTCTTGTTGCCCAGGTTGGAGTGCAATGGCGTGATCTTGGCTCACCACAACCTCCACTTCCCAGGTGCAAGCGATTCTCCTGCCTCAGCCTCCGAGCAGCTGGGATTATAGGTGCTTGCCACCACACCTGGCTATTTTGTATTTTTAGTAGAGATTGGATTTCTCCATGTTGGTCAGGATGGTCTAGAACTTCCGACCTCACGTGATCTGCCCACCTTGGCCTCCCAAAGTGCAGGGATTACAGGCGTGAGCCATCGCACTTGGTCCATTTTTTTTTTAAAGCTCTAATTTGAAGGACACTAATTGCTGGTTTCTTCTATTTATCTACACAGCATCTAAACTTTTCAGATGTTTGAAACAGGGGGCATGTGAAAATAAAACAAAACTTTTCAGATGAATTCACCACTGCCTCAGAAAGTTGGCAATGCATAGTGTTTAAGTGTATAGGCTTTGGAACCAGATTCCTTGGGATTGAATTACTAGGTATAAACATTAGCACATCATAAATACCACTATTATCGTTTTTTTAAAGAAAAAAACCCCCGTATGCTTTTGCTTTGTTGGTATATGAGAAAAGAAAAAACCAATCCTATATACGTTGGTATGCCGGGCCTTATTCAAACACAGCCACCCTTAAACATTTAACCTTGGAATATCAATTCCCTTTTTTTTTTTTTTTTTTCCCCCGAGACAGAGTCTTGCTCTGTTGCCCAGGCTGGAGTGCAGTGGTGTGATCTCAGCTCACTGCAACCTCCGCCTCCTGGGTTCAAGCGATTCTCCTGCCTCAGTCTTCCAAGTAGCTGGGACTACAGGCGCACGCCACCATGCCTGGCTAACTCTGTTGGCCAGGATGGTATCGATCTCTTGACCTCATGATCCGCCCGCCTCAGCCTCCCAAAGTGCTGGAATACAGGCATGAGCCACCGCGTCAGGCCCCACTCCCCTTTTGCTCTCCATCATAATACATGTGGGGAAAGAAGAAAACTTTAAGTATATCTCTAACTTCTAATTGTCATGTTATGCTGAAATTATCTCTCTATGCCCGTGAAGACAGAGTATATATTATTCATATCTAAGTAAGTACAACATTTGACAAACAGTAGAATAGTGAGTAAATGATAACATACAGTTATGGCAACTTAAAATAATGGATGTGATTTTCATTTTTGGTAAAAGATTGAATAAATTTCTGCTAATAAACAACTAAATCCTGGATAAAATGTATTTTATGAAATGTTGGACTTTTTTTTTTGAGATGGAGTCCTGCTCTATTGCCCAGAGCTGGAGTGTAGTGGTGCAACCTCAGCTCACTGCAATCTCTGCCTCCCAGGTTCAAGAGATCTCCTGCCTCAGCCTCCCGAGTAGCTGGGACTACAGGCATGCGCCACCACGCCCAGCTAATTTTTGTATTTTAGTAGAGACAGGGTTTCACCATGTTGGCCAGGATGGTCGTGAACTCCTGGCTTCAAGTGATCTACCTGCCTTAGCCTCCCAAAGTACTGGGATTACAGGCATAAGCCACTGTGTCTGGCCTATATTTTATTATTTTTTTTGAAGACAGGGTCTTGCTCTGTTGCCCAGGCTGGAGTGTAGAGGTGTGATCACAGCTCACTGCAACCTTGAACTCCCCAGGCTCAGATGATCCTTCTCACCTTAGCCTCCCAAGTAACTGGGACTATAGGCATGTGCCATCATGCCTGGTTCATTTTGCATTTTTTTGTAGAGAGAGGGTTTCACTATGTTGCCCAGGCCAGTCCTGAACTCCTGCGTTCAAGGGATCTGCCCGCCTTGACCTCCCAAAGTGCTGGGATTACAGATGTTAGCCACCTCACCCAACCTATGATATTTATGAGTTTAAAAAAATCCCTCCAAACTACATATACAGTATACAATTTGTATAGAGTTTATAAACAAGCAGTAGCTAATTAATACTGTTTGGGGAGTCCTATGTATGTAATACAACTATTTCTTAAAAGTCAAGGGAAAAACAAAATTTAGGTTACCAGTTACCTTTGAGGAAGTGGGATGGGACAGCATAAGGGTAGGTGTGCTGTATTGCTACTGTTCTAGCTCTAAATTGACTGCCTGGTTCATGGGTATTCATTTTTGTTTTGTTTTTTTAAATTATGCTGTATAATTTACATGTTTCCTATATTTTTTTCTTTTGGATTTATTGAATACTAAATCAGTAAAGAAATGGACTTAGTAAAGGAACACACAATTCCTTCACTTGTAGAGTCACATGGGAAGAAAATCATAGAAGATATGTTCCCTCACAGCTAATAGCGATTTCTTAAAGTCTTTCTGCCCAGAAAATCCGCTTGGCTCACTGTTGTTGCTGCAAGTCCTTAGAGAATAAGAGTTATAGTGAAAAGAGCAGAGGCTTTAGAGTAGAATACTTGGCTCTGCACTAATATGTTGTTTTAGGTTTTTAAATATTTAAATATTTATTTATTTATTTAGAGACAGAGTCTTGCTCCGCAGCCCAGGCTGGAACGCTGGAGTACAGTGGTGTGATCTTGGCTCACTACAACTTATGCCTCCCGGGCTCAAGCAATTCTCCTGCCTCACCCTCCAGAGTAGCTGGGATTACAAGCACGTGCCACCACGCCTGGCTAATTTTTGTAGTTTTAGTAGAGACGTGTTTCACCATCTTGGCAAGGCTGGTCTTGAACTCCTGACCTCAAGTGATTCACTTGCCTTGGCCTCTCAAAGTACTAGGATTACAGGCCTGAGCCACACCTGGCCTATGTTGTTTTATTTTTTAAAGTTCATTTTCCTCATCTATTAAAAAGTCATGTTAATATTTGCTCCTTTCTAACAGAGCTAATTTAAGGATAAAATGAGATAATGCCTGTAATAAGCAATAAAATATTTTTAAAGCAATAAAATATTTTAAAAATGTCAGCTAATTTGTGAAAGCTGAAGGTTAGGGGACCATGAGGTTAGCAGGTTTTCTTTTTTTTTTTTTTTTTTTTTTGAGACGGAGTCTCGCTCTGTCGCCCAGGCTGGAGTGCAGTGGCCGGATCTCAGCTCACTACAAGCTCCGCCTCCCGGGTTCCCGCCATTCTCCTGCCTCAGCCTCCTGAGTAGCTGGGACCACAGGCGCCGCCACCTCGCCCGGCTAATTTTTTGTGTTTTTAGTAGAGACGGGGTTTCGCCGTGTTAGCCAGGATGGTCTCGATCTCCTGACCTTGTGATCCGCCCGTCTCGGCCTCCCAAAGTGCTGGGATTACAGGCTTGAGCCACCGCGCCCGGCCAGCAGGTTTTCTACTAGGGTATCTGGACCTAGTGGGAGTAGCACTGAGGGCATTTCACATACCTTGATGAGTTGATTATTCTTCACATAGTGCAAAGTGTTTGACCGATTACCACCAGCCACCACAGGTGGATAGGCTAAGATGTCTGCACCACGAGCCCGGCATTCAAATTCAAACTGTGAAAAACAACAGCAAGGTATGACTCAAAGGGTTTCTGTAGGGCTGCCCCAGCCCAGGCTCTCTTCAACTGCCCATACCTCCATACCAGTACTTATCTTAAGTCATTACTGGAAAACTATTCATCATACCTAACCAAACCTTTTATGCCTGTAATTTCAGTCCATCTCTTTTATTCTCACCTCCATGTACTATAATCTATGGTTAAGTAGTACTCTTTTATTCCCATAAATCCTGTTATTTCAACCCTATTATTAAATCTGTTCTTTTTTCTTTAGTGTTCCTCTAAATCTCTATAATTTTCAAATAAGTCCAGAAGACAGAAAACTATGATGAAGGCTGAGCCTTGAAATACAATCATGTAAGGTTATCTATTTGTTTATTCTGATTTAGCTAAACACTGAAATGTGACTTACATTTTTAACAACAGCTCTAAATTACTAATTCCAATCTTTCAAATAGCTACGAATCTAAATGCTCTGGAAAAGTGAAAATGGATGCTAGGAAAATTGCAGTCCTACCTAATTTCACTACGTTCTAGGCATACAGATGGAGCTGGAGGTTGAGTGAGTATCTGCTACTATCTACAGCACTTTCTCAACCTCTATTTTTTTTGAGACACGGATTGCTCTGTCACCCAGGCTGGAGTGCAGTGGGGCAATCATAGTTCACTATAGCCTGAATCTTCCAGGCTCAAGTCATCCACCACCTCAGCCTCCAGAGTAACTGGACTATAGGGTGTGTTACCATGCCCAACTAATTTTTTTAAATTTTTTGTAGAGATGAGGTGTCAGTATGTTGGCCCAGGCTGGTCTCGAACTCCTGGACTCAAGTATCCTCCCATCTCAGCCTCCCAATTTTACAGGCATGTGCACCACGCCTGTCCTCAGCATTTTTTTTTTTTTTGAGACAGTTGCTCTGTTGCCCAGGCGAGTGCCAGTGGCATATCTTGGCTCACTGCAACCTGTGCCTCCCCGGTTTAAGTGATTCTTGTATCTCAGCCACCTGACTAGCTGGGATTATAGACATACGTTACCACACCCAGCTAGTTTTTGTATTTTAGTAGAGATGGGGTTTTGCCATGTTGGCCAGGCTGGTCTCGAACTCCTGGCCTCAAGTGATTCACTTGCCTTGGCCTCCCACAGTGCTGGCATTATAGGCATGAGCTCCACGCCCAGCCCTCAGCCTCTTTTTGACATTGACCTAAACAGTATTACTTTGTCACCTCGCATTGCTAAATTTTCCCTCATCATCATCTGTTCTACTTTGCAATTTTCTTCCTTTAATTGTAACACAGTAATTTTAGACTAAAAATGACCAGTGATATTTCAGAAACAAATCCACTCCAATGACATGCTGGTCATCACTATCATGAAAGCAAATTGCACTACCATTTCTGCAAATCAAATTACTTTATTATATTCACCTCCAACAAGACGGTGAAGCTAACCATCTAAATCTCACCTTAGCATAAGAAGCCTTCTTCCACAGGGGCTTTACTGGCAAACATGGTTTCTATGAAAGCTGCCAAAGAGAAAGGAGGATGAAAAGAACATGATCTCATTCTATGTTGCTTACTTGAACATTCAAAATACTGGAGCTCAAATGAAAAAGCACCTTCCCCACAATTTGTCAACCTGAAGTTGTGACTTTACTGGGAAATAATATAGATTTCTGAAAGGAAAATATTTGCTTTGATGTGAATGTTGTCCCCTCCAAAATTCACATTGCAATTTAATCCCCATTGGGGTGATAGTAAGAAGTGGGGCCTTTTGAGTAGTGATTAATCATGAGGGCTCTGCCCCATAGATGGATTAGTGACCTTTATAAAAGGGCTTGGGGGAGTGAGTTTGGCCCCTCTTGGTTTTCTGTCCCTTCTGCCATATAAGGATACCTAGAGGGTGTCATCTATCAGGAATGTCCCTTCAACAGACACTGAATCGCTGCTGGTACCTTGACCTTGGACTTCCCAGCCTCCAGAACTTTGAGGAAATACATTTCTTTTTTTTTTTTTTTTTTTGAGACAGAGTCTTGCTCTGTCGCCTAGGCTGGAGTGGCATGGCCGGCTCTCAGCTCACCGCAAGCTCCGCCTCCCGGGTTCACGCCATTCTCCTGCCTCAGCCTCCCGAGTAGCTGGGACTACAGGCGCCCGCCACCTCGCCCGGCTAGTTTTTTGTATTTTTTTTAGTAGAGACGGGGTTTCAGGGGGTTAGCCAGGATGGTCTCGATCTCCTGACCTCGTGATCCGCCCGTCTCGGCCTCCCAAAGTGCTGGGATTACAGGCTTGAGCCACCGCGCCCGGCCGAGGAAATACATTTCTATTGCTTATAAATTATCCAATCTCAGGTACTTTGTAATAGCAGCACATACTAAGATATACATTTGTTATTTACGTAACAAAATGCCTCAATAGCACCATGTATGAAATTATGGATTGAATGGTCTAGTCTACATCAAGATTTCCCAACCTCCGTACTACTGACATTGGGGCCAGATAATTCCTCATGGGAGAGCTGTTCCTGTTCTATGTAGGATGCCAGAAGCTTCCAATGTGACAACAGGGACATTACCAAATGCTCCCAGGGGACAAAACTGCTCCCCACTGAAAACCACTGGCCTATGTTATAAGTAACTTTTATTAATTCTCTGTGATAACCACACCATATGCGTGTGCATTTTTTTTTTTTTTTGAGACAAGAGTCCACTCCATCCGCAGGTTGGAGTGCAATGGAGTGATCAGAACTCACTGCAGCCTCAAACTCCTGTACTCAAGGTGATCCTTCCACTTTAGCCCTCCTAAGTAGGGCGGACTACAGGGTGCACGCCACCAGATGCCAGCTAATTTTTAAATTTTTGTAATTTTTAATTTTTTCAGCCTCTAGGGTGGCTTCACACCTGTACCAGCACTTTAGGACGCTGAGGTGAGAGGATCGCTTGAGCTCAGGAGCTCAAGACCGGGCATTGACAAAGATATAGTGGACACACTATTTCTCTAAAGAAACAAACAAACAACAAACAAAACAAAAAACAGGCCAGACGTGATGGCTCACGCCCCGTAATCCCTACTTGGGGAGGCTGAGGCGGGCAGATCCATGAGGTCAAGAGTTTGATCCAGTTGTCCAACAATAGGGAAAACCCCATCTCTACTAAAAATTACAAAAAATCAGCTGGGGTGAAGGGTGTGTGCGCCTGTAATCCGCAGGCCTCCAGGAGGCTTGCGACAGGAGAATCACGTGAACCAGGAGGCAGAGGTTGCAGGTTGAGCCAAGATTGCGCCACTGCCACTCCAGCCCGGGCCACAATGCAAGACTCTGTCTAAAAAAAGAGAAACACCTGAAAACATTTCTCAGTGCAACCCACCAAAAAGATAATGGCGAATTAGCCAAAATGCCCATATGAGTAAAAAGCCAATAAGAAGGGGCAATGGTGCGGGAAATTTAGAATGGCTTGCTCCCTCTAGTGCAAATCTTTCCTGCAAATGTTCCTCCTCCTATAGATGGCCCTTCCCTGACATCCCATCTAAATTGAACACCTTCCATCACATTTCATCCTCATTCACTGCTTTGTTTTTCTTCATAGCAATTTAATTCAGATGACTTCATGTCGTTTGTTACTGCTCTTCCTCCACCAGAATGTAACTATGGAGAGTGAGCGTCGATAGTCTATTGTGCTCACTAATGTATCCTCGGAACCTAGAGCAGTGCCTGGCACATAGTTGGTACTCAGTAAATATCTGCTGGATAATGAGCAATTAAAATCAATTAAAGGGGCCGGATGTGGTGGCTCATGCCTGTGATCCCAGCACTTTGGGAGGCCCAGGTGGCAGATCACGAGGTCGGGAGATTGAGATGATCCTGGCTAACACAGTGAAACACGGTCTCTACTAAAATACAAAAAAATTAGCTGCGCGTGGTGGCGGGCACCTGTAGTCCTAGTTACTTGGGAGGCTGAGGCAGGAGAATCGCTTGAACCTGGGAGGTGGAGGTTGCAGTAAGCCAAGATCATGCCACCGCACTCCAGCCTGGGTGACAGAGCGAGACTCCATTTCAAAAAAAAAAATTAAACAACTGGGTGTGCTGGCTCACGCCTGTAATCCCAGCACTTTGGGAGGCTGAGGCATGTAGATCACTTTGGCAGGAGTTTGAGACCAGCTTGGCCAACATGGCGAAACCCTGCTGTCTCCACTAATATTAGCTGGGCATAGTGGTGGGCACCTGTAATCCCAGCTGCTCAGGAGGCTGAGGTAGGAGAATCACTTGTACCCAGAGAGTGGAGGTGGCAGTGAGCTGAGATTGCAACAGTGCACTCCAGCCTGGGTGCCACAGCAAGACTCCGTCTCAAAAAAAATAAAAAAATAAAAAAATAAAGGACACTTGCACACACAATCACAAATGTTGACAAATAACTTATTCAGCACTATATTTTTAGCATGAAACCTAAAAAATATGGCAGTCCTAGTGGCTTCACTCACTCAAAAGAGGGATTTGTCTTTTTATTAACTTTGCTTTTAACCCTTATTGCCTGGCATAGATAATTGTTGATGTCATGGCTTAAAAAAATTTTTTTTTGGCCGGGCGCGGTGGCTCAAGCCTGTAATCCCAGCACTTTGGGAGGCCGAGACGGGCGGATCACAAGGTCAGGAGATCGAGACCATCCTGGTGAACCCGGTGAAACCCCGTCTCTACTAAAAAAATACAAAAAACTAGCCGGGCGAGGTGGCGGGCGCCTGTAGTCCCAGCTACTCGGGAGGCTGAGGCAGGAGAATGGCGTGAACCCGGGGGGGCGGAGCTTGCAGTGAGCTGAGATCCAGCCACTGCACTCCAGCCTGGGTGACAGAGCGAGACCCCGTCTCAAAAAAAAATAAAAAATAAAAAATAAAAAATAAAAATAAATTTTTTTTTAAGAGATGGGGTCTTGCTATGTTGCCCACACTGGAGGGCAGTGGCTATTCATAGGCACAATCATGGTGCACTACTGCCTTGAACTCCTGGGCTCAAGCGATCCTTCTGCTTCAGCCTCCTGAGTAGCTGGAACTATATGTGCACACCATTGTGCCAGGACAGTTGTGACTCTTTCAAACTGTTATGCAGACTCAACAGGATAGAAAAGTTCCTCTTCCTTCCTAGGTGATCAAATGCCTAATCTTGCTTTACTTCTTTTTGTAATGAATGTGCCTCCTATGAGTCAATTTCTTTACAGAGCATTCCAGGTACACATGACACGCAGTTCAAATGCTACCTACCCTTACTATATGCTTGATATCCTTCCAGTAAAGATCAAGAGTTAAACTGTATGATTGGCACTTCTTAGGATTGTCTTGTCACAACGTAGTCTGCACTCCCAATAAAGATTTAACACTCTTACTTCACTAAGTGCTACCTGAATGTATTTTGACTGTTAAAAAATGTAAAATGGGCTTTCTCTGCATTTCACCCTGCATCTTATAATCAGAACACATCACAAACGAACACTGTAAAGCTAATGGAGAAGGGAGAGTAGAGAGAAAAAGCATTTCACAAACCATTTCATGAAAGTGTGTGTGTGTGTGTGTGTGTGTGTGTGAGTGACAGAGAGAGAGATGGGGGGAGGCAGCCCTTAATATTGTCCCATGGATCGTTTCTTAGCTTCCTTATTTTAAAAATCAGTGATTTGAGGCCGAGCGCAGTGGCTCATACCTGTAATTCCAGCACTTTGGGAGGCTGAGGCAGGTGGATAATGAGGTGAGGAGTTCCAGACCTGCCTGGCCAAAATGGTGAAACTCTGTCTCTACTAAAAATACAAAAATTAGCCAGGCGTGGTGGCGGGCACCTGTAATTCCAGCTACTCGGGAGGCTGAGGCAGAGAATTGCTTGAACCCGGAAGGCGGAGGTTGCAGTGAACCTAGATCGCGCCACTGCACTCCAGCCTGGGCTACAGAGTAAGACTCCATCTTAAATAAATAAAAGGAATGGTTAAGGAAAACAAGAATGTTTAACTTTGGAAGACTAAAGGTAGAATATAGAGAAGCAGGCCTCAAATGTTTCTGTGCTATTATGCTATGAGGCTTAATTCTAGCAGGTCTGAAATTAGCCTGAGCTGTTTTGCTAAAGTTCTGTATGACACTGATTCGGGCCAAGGCCTGAAGCATACTGATAAACAGTGTTGCGGGGAGTTTCAGAGCAGTTTGTATCAGCTTGTCAGTACTTGATAACAGATCAATGCTTTGTACTGGGTCTCCATGAGCTCGCCAGAGGGCTTTACTATTACATAGCATGGATATGCCTATGTGACCAAAATCAAAAATCCTGAGTGAGATTCCATTTTAGGCTCTTGGGTTCTGAGGTGTTCTGGGCATTCATCACTGGTTCCTGGTCTGTGAGAGAACCACCAAGCCCTTACCTAGGGAGAAAAACAGGAGCCTGCACCTGTCTTCTCCAGACTCCTTGCTGTGAGACAGCCACAGGCTGTGATACATATCTTTAACTTTAATGCAGTTGCTCTATGAAACCTTTTCCCTGTAATGACTGTGTATTTGTAAGCACTGT